ATTTTAGGGTTAATTTTGCATTATTTGTGTCTCATTGTTTGGTTGTATATAGCTAGTGGACGAGTTATTGTTTATGATTAGATAGTTTTATTTGACTAAACGAGGTTTTAAATTACTGAAATAACAACGAACAAATTGTAAACAAAACATGACATCTACAGAAAACCGGACAGAACTAACAATAAAATTGGCTTCAGCTGTTCCATAAGGACGGGAAATCTACTAAGGGAGTAAGTTATGTTTTATCTATCTTCAGCTGTTCCATAAGGATGGGAAATCTACTAAGGGAGTGAGTATGTTTTATCTATCTTCAGCTATTCCATAAGGATGGGAAATCTACTAAGGGAGTGAGTATGTTTTATCTATCTTCAGCTGTTCCATAAGGATGGGAAATCTACTAAGGGAGTATGTTTTATCATAGACTAGCTGGCACGACAGACGTCGTCCTGTCCTAATGTGGTTTTATGTCAAATGCTCGTTCATTTTCAAGATGAGCTCGTTGGCATGGCTCAATCACGTCCTGGTTGAAGTTTGTTCGCTATGCTCACTTACCTTTAGGGTGGAGCTCGTTCGCTGCGTTCACTTGCCTTCAGGTTATTTTGTTCGCTACGCTAACTCGCCTCCAGGTTGAAGTTCGTTCGCTACGCTCACTCACCATTTGGTTGCAAATTAGCTGTTGTGATAAATTTAAATAAATAATAGTGCTGCACCCTGTTGGTAAACCTATTAACTTGTTAATGCTATTGAACATCACAGAATCAAATTTTTTAGTTGAACCAGCTGTTAAGATTCTTTAATTCCATTTAAATATGAGTGCTGTACTCATAAGGTTAACATGGGAAACAACAGAGCCACTGGGTGGAGCCCTTTTGACGGATCTGCACCAAACTTCACACAAACCATCCTTGAATGATGCTTAATAATGCCTGAAAGATTCATTACAATCTGTAGAGCGGTTTCGGAGTCCATAAAGGACAAACAAACAAACAAACATACTTTGGATTTTATATATACAGGGTGGTAAAAAAGTCCCAGGACAGTTAAATATTTTAAAAAATAATGCAGATAGAGCTACAATACTTGGTACAAAGTTACGGGGCATAAAACTCTATTTCAACATATATTCAGTGATCCAATAACTCTTCAGGGGGGCGGCCCACAAGGAGTCGGAAGAACATCTTAAATGGAAGCATAGGACGCTTTGTCGTTGAAACGTGTAATTCTGTTCTTTGGATAACAAGACTCACTTGGCCCTCATTGAAACCTCATTCAAAATATATCATCAGGGATCCATGAAACAACAAATACATAAAAGAGAATATTGTTTTCTGTTTTATTTTTATTCTTTATTTTTTAATATAAATTTGTTGCAGGAAAATACTAAAGAGATTTATTTTCCTAAATTTCTTCCTAAAATTTTGGATGCTGGGTCCTCTCAACTATTATGTCGATCCTAAAGGCTGGTACACACTAGGACACCCGGTCGCTTATCAACCGGCGACCTGGTTGACGAGCGACTAAGTTGATGATTGAACGTTTTATTGCCGGGGGGTAAAGACTAGGATACCTAGCTCTTTCAACCAAGCAGGAAATCAAAATTTGGTGGGGATGGACTGTGTTTGGTTCTGGAATCTGGTTCGAGCTCTAGTTGCACTGACCTGTGTGTTGTGACAACATGCCCACCTACAAAGAAGAGATTGCTGCCGCAGTTATAATTCTAATTAATTGCAGTAACCATAGAAGAAGGAAAACATTGCTCAGAAGATTTTGGGCTAAAGGGTGGCTTCAACGCAGACACAGTTACAGCCACATGGTACTTCTACAAACTTTGCGAGATGAAAATCCTCAGGATTACAAGAATTATTTGAGGATGTCAGACGACAATTTCCGTCACATTTTTGCAATCAAAGTCTACAACAAACTGGTAATACAACAAAGTCAACTAAACTCAAACAATCGAAAAACCCCTCTAGCTTGAAAGAGACCACGTTTAGCACTGTTTAGTTTTGACAGTTGACACAGACAGTGTACTGCGCATGCGCTAGCCGTCTTTAGTTGATCAACTTGGTCGCTGAATCGTACACACTCTAGTTTTTTGAGAAATCTGATTGCCCGGCGATAAAATGGTTGATCGGAAACCCCCAGGTTTTCGAGACATGTCCGAAAACCAAAAAGTTGCCTGGCAACCTACAAATCGCCGTCAATCAAATTGACAGACCCGGCGATATTTGTGCAATTTGGTCGCTCGTCAACCAGATCGCCAGTTGATAAGCGACCGGGTGTCCTAGTGTGTACCAGCCTTAATGTTTCAATTAAACATTGATTAAGGAAACAATTCAAGACAGATGAAGGAAACTTTGGTACAAGATTTTTGTAACTGCTCAGTTTTATAAAAATTTAACTTTATTAGCAACTGTGTAAAAGGCTTGACATTTAAAGCATAGTGTAAATTGTCACTTTAACTCTAAACTCAAAATATTGAGCTTAATGACTAGTAATACATCACAGAATTGTGTTTCACAAAGTGTAAAAGCCTTGACTATCTTACCATTAACAAATGTGCTTGAAAACCAAGTGTACAAAGTAATGTTATAAAAACACAGAGTTGTAAAAATATTTTGCTAAATACAATTTAAGAAATTATATTTAAAAATATTACCATAGTGCATACAATCTACAATCATACTAAATACAGACTATCATAATTGAGCTATATTGGTGGACCGTTTGGTAAAGACTAGGCTTATTTGATATGCATAGTTAATTAATTAACTAACAACACTCTTTTAACCATCACTTGATAGGATGGTCTGAGCAAGATAACCAATAACATTCTTGCTAGATTGGCTAAAAAACTTTTTAAACGTAAGTTTCCCTATTGCTGAACTCCTAAATAAATTACATCTAATATCAAAAAATTTCATTTAGAGCTGTCTACATATTTTTCTCTGCAGCATACATAACATTTTATTCCTTACAGTAATTGGTAATGTTATTTAGTTAAAGTCATTGACTTCTTAGGTACTGAAGTAAGCATTTGGTTTATGTGGACCATACTGTAACTTGTAGCAAGTTTTTTACCTAAACACAACATAGTTGAAAGATACATTCAAAAAGTGTGCTAGAACTAAAATTCTATTTTAGTCTTTCATGCTATACAGTAGAACCTCGGTTAAACAAAATGGGGTAACCAAAACCAGGGTTAACCGAAACGGTTCCATAAATGAATCAGGGTAAAACTAAAAATATAAGTACAATATGTAATATGTAAACGGCAAGGTGTAGCCTAGCCCGTCTCTAGAAAAGGGGCTTTTCTAACCCATTGTAACATTTTTGAAGCAGAAATAAAACACTGTAATATATAGACATTGTTTAAATTCATTATCCCTACACACTGTGGTGTTAAACAGGCTATTTTTAGCATGTGGGTTAACCGAAAAATTGGTTATCCGAAACAGCTCTCCCCCCTTTATTTCGGTTAACCGGGATTCTACTGTAGATAATTATTCTTCTATGAGGAGAAAGCAGTATAACTGGCATATACTGGGCAAAGATGGCATTGTTTTCAATTTTCCTTTTCATTTGTTTTTTTCTTTTTTTTAGATCAAAACTGGATCATGAATTTAGAGGAAATGTAATGTTTACTTCATGATCAAAACTGTTTTCAATTCCTTATTAATTACCTTAATAATTTTAGATTTGTTTTACAACTACACATTTTTAAAATTCAATTAATCCATCCAAAACCATATTGGCATCATCTCAAAATTAAAAACAACTGTGGTAAGCCCCGTAGTCTCCTCTTATACTAGACCGCGGCTTTGGTGTGTCGCAACATAGCACCAGCCGGCATATTGCGTTAATACTAGCAGTACACTATCGCTGAATGTTTGGCCGAATGTTTCACAAAATTCTTTACTTGAGTTTCAAGACGAATGCTGACAAACGAGAACCTCGAGCACACCCAGTACACGCTCGCCCATGTTCGCTGAACATGCTTGCTGATGGTAGATATATTTTAACTTCCAGCACTCGCCTTTGCTCATCTTTTTTGACTCGTCCCAAATACCGAAAAAAAATGGAGCACAGGCGAGCACGAATTGTGGTGATAAGAGCTATGCTATCCCGAGTGTACATGACCAGACCGGGTACACTATCGTGTTCGCCTGTATTCGGTGATAGTGTACTGCTAGCACAACAGATGTATGTAGTACCGGCCAGCCGGTAGTAACAGTAATAACAAGCATTGTGCAGAATTGTTATGAGTTAGTGCCACAGCTGTTTCTGTAGGCTAGAACTGCATCGTTTCAGCTTTTGCCTTGCTGCGGTTTTGTATTAGAGGAGGCCATGGTAAACGCCATGAAAATCATCTGATACAAATGTCAACAGCTGTTACTATTTCTTAAAGCTATAGGAATTCGGGGATATAGCGTAATTTAATTTAATTTCTTTTCCAACTAGCCATGCAGTCAACATGAATGGAATAACTTTTACTGTTCATTTGTAAAAAAATTAAACTTTGTGTGTAAGCTGCTTGTAAAATAATAAAAGGAAAGTCACACTTAATCCAAGCTGTATTAATGCAAGAGGTACTAAAAAATAGTATGAGTTGGTTTGTTGATGTAGTTGATTTCCTAGATCGCCTGATATCCTAAAAAATGCTAGTATGAAAAATATTATGAATGACAGATAGAACAAATCAGAAGTTAAGTACAAGCCAGCAGGAATATGGTGGCTTATAAGGACGGTATTGTATTGAAACTTACAACTCCAATTTATTTTATAAGGCACAAATAAATTTAATATTTTAGTTTGGTTACATTGATTATTTTACAAAATATGTTATAGATTGCGAAACAAAGCAAGTTTTGTTTCGCCAGCAACCCAGGTTCAATACTTAGTTGTGATAGTTTAGACATGTAAAAATGTAATTCAATCCAATTGAATAGATTTATCAGCAAGTATAATGGATAAAGTTTATAATTTAAAAACAATGTATATTATTTTACCAATAAATGTGAAATGTATATATAAGTATGTCAAACAAATGTCTTTTATAAATCTATATGTACCTTATTTTTGTAAAACCTCAAACATTACATTTGGAAAGACTAAACTTTAAGGCAAAAGTGTTATTTACAACTACCTACTTAAATGTACAAAGTACCAAATTGCATTGTTATGATTTTTGTTCTTAACACCTAATTGCCTAAAACAAGAATAAGAATATGACTAGATGTGCGGTAAAAAGAAAATAATACCCAAGTGACAAAAATTTGTTGATTGTAAATACTAAGTTGATAATTAATTATAGTCTGTTCACAAAATTTAGGCGGTTTGAGGGGAAGTTCCCCTCTAAAAACATAGCTGTTGAGCTATTGTTTTAAAGATAGGATCAAGTGGAGGAGATAGGTTTCTTTCCTTAAACCCGCCTAAGTTTTGTGAACGAAGTTTAGATTCAGAAATATCAACAATTAAAATGTTTTCTTTACTCACCATGGTTGATATTACTATGCTTTTCTATTGTGCCCTTTTGTTTTGAAATAAAACAAACACTATAGATTTATATTTGATTAACAAGTTCAAAACTCATACCAAAAAGGTTCTTTGTCAGATACATGTCTTTGAATCAAGGCTAATTATAAGTATCCAACACATAATCCTAAGGCAGTGTTTACGAATACAATAGCATGGCTGCAACGCTGGTGAATGTTTCTGCTTGTATGGGAGATGTTCGCGGGTTCGAGCTCACATACACTTGGTCCTTGGCAGGAACGACTTTCTCTGCCGTCTGAAACAATATGTGAAAGAACAGATTTTTCACATCAGAGTATGGGCAGATTTCAGGGAGAGTGACTTGAAACCATAGAATTTTTTTTTCATGTATGATAATTCCTACCCTACCAACTAAAGAAAGAATAATATTCACAAAACAAGTCGCCTACATTATGTAACAATTTATTAACACGTTCGCTGCTGACCGCTAGATGCCCGGACGGCGACAGAAGTTGAACTAACACTGGCCGCTGCGTGACATTGCCGCTGATACACTGAATTACATTAAAAACAACAGTAGTTATACTGTATGGCAATGTTCTGCAATAAAACTGGCTTTGGACATAGTACTAAGTGATTCTGATAGATAGCAGCACTACCCAGGTTGCAGTCGGAAAGGTAGTGTCGCTATTTAGCAGAAACGAGGTGGGACAAAGCCCTGTTCCAAACGACCCTGGTGGTGATTTTGGGAAACTATATTTTTTATTGTCATAAAAGTACGTCCCTACGAGCTGCAAAGAAATATAGGACGCTTGTAACAAGCTGACTTATCCATGGAAACGTTAAACAACAATGAACGGTGACGTTCCGTGGAACGTTCCTAGCTCCTGGCGCTATGGCCCTGCTGGCGTTCCGGAACGTCCGTAGCAGCAAACGTGTTAAGGACTTTTTCCATGACGACTAAAATAAAGCAATGTTTTCGCAACTTCTACTATTCTGTTCTATGGGTGGCATTGGGTTTTCCAGATTCGGCCAACATATACTTTTCTTGTAATGATTTAAAGCTTGCCCACTTGAGGAATGCGACCAGATTTTAGATCCGACCGATAATGCTGTGAAAAGAATTAATTTGATAAACAATGTTAACTCACCAAAACCCAAAATTAACTTTGAACAAATAACGAGAAGGTGAAACCTTGGCAGGTGAATACAGAGCTTGTCAGGTAAAAGTTTGATGTTTTTTATCTTGTCCCACAAGATAGATCAAACACTTAGAAGCAGTAATTGTTAACTAATAGTTATGTCAATTAAAAATCAGGTAAACAAACTGTGGCTTTGAAATTATTTGTGTATGGGTAGCCTACCATAGTTGTTTTTCTAACTTCTGATGGTTTGACATTTAGGTTCGGAATGAAATCCAGCTAAAAGGTAAAAATGGGATCTACTCCATAGTGTTTGACACCAAAAACTAAAACATTGACCTTCCACTTGAGATTAGTCAACTTACCTTTTGACAGAAGTATATGACCCGTGGTCCTGCCAACACCAGACCTACCAGAGGTCCAGCCTCAGCCTCCTTGTTGTAGGATGAACTTCCAAACACAACCTCGGCATCTCTACCTTCCAGAGTCAACTGTCTGCAACTCACCAACCAACAAGATGGCTGAAAGAGTTTGGAACATTCAATTAGCAAATGGTACGATAGGTTGTTCAATTAAAATCCATATTTTCTAGCCCCTGAGCTGATCCTATGACTAAATCAATAAATTACTTTCATGAACCAGCTCCAAAAAGGTGTAGCAAATGTTACGGCCATTTCAACATCAATGTGCCATGTTCAGACATTGTTCAGCCATAAATGAAATGAAATGAAAAATGTCTTTATTTAAGAGGCGAAGTTAGGACTATCAAGTCCTCTCTACCACTTAACCTCTCATAACGTGTCATTAAAAAACAAAAACATAAAAAATGTCACACACAATTAATACACATAGAAAAAACAAGATTTTTTCAAACAGGCCTATTGAGAAACGCACATTCCCACACTCGTGCAAGTAGCTGACTTGGAGTCATCTTTGCCTTGTCATGTCAGTGGTAGGGTTATCAGCTGCTCTCTTGGTCTTGGTTCCCTTCGCTGATTTAAAATGCTGTTGAAATAACGTGTGATTTCAATCGTTTATCGTTTAGAATAAGTTCACCATTATCATTTTTTTGTGGGCTTTATAAATCTAAATTTTGTCAGGGAATCTAATTTATTGCTTTTTGTACAGATGTGAAGGATTTCCAAGCCAGTGTTAAGGTTATTCAGGTTGTAGTTTTCATCTATCAGGTGTTAGGCAAATGTTTATTTTTTTTAGTCAGCTTTCGGTTTCGATGATGCCCTTTATATCTTGTTTTGAATGTGTCCTGTTTTCCTACATAAACACTAGTATGACCAGCACGTTTAATTTTTTACATCCCTGACCTGTCACCCTTAAGGCGGTGACACACCACCATCTGCACTGTAAAGTTACATGACATAACGTTTAACGTTACGCTACAGATGCCTAAGACACACCGCGATCGACGTCTGCAAACGTCCCACGGGCCAATTTTGACTCATCTCTCATCATTCGCTATGTGGATGAGTCCAGATGAGCTAAGTAAGCATGCGAGAGGCCACAGACCTAACGTTACGTCTGCTCCCGATCTTTCGGCGAGCGAACCAGCAAATCCTTGTATGATGATATGTTAAATTAATTGTAATCAGGGCAGTATTTCCCTAACGGCGGATACAGATTGTAAAAGGCGGTGTTCCCTTTACTAGTGAGCAAAATGCCACTTTACAACTAAACTTTGATCCATTACGCTAAACATTTTCATTTTTGTTAGGCCTACTTTTTTTCTAGCAATCAGACAGACATAAAGATCCCATCACAACTGTTACTAATTACAACACAAATAAAAACATTTATCTTACATAAACGTCACAAATTCCAATGGCATGCATAAACACAGATATATACATAGCTGAAGTTTTACCTTGACACTATAGAGGAGGAAATTACGCCAAAAAGAAGTGTAAATTAGTCCTCTTACCCTGTCTTCAAGGAGCTGTCGGATGAAAGATTTGGCTAAGACTTCTTCATTGTTTGTGTGAAAGAACGCTACCAAGCAAACCTCCAAGTCTTCATCAGGTTCCGGAAAAACTCCTGTGGTCATTGGAACAACACTCCATGTTCTGTCTAGAGACAGGTTTAACCTGAAACAATTCAACATGAACAGTTTTGGTTTAGGATTTATCAATGTGATCATCATTATACTCAAGAAACTCTAACCGTATTCAATGTTTGTGACAGTGAGACAGTTAAAATTACCGAAAAATTACTCATATCAGCTTATGGTTAAAGAGGGCATCTAACCTCTCTCTCTCTACCATCTACGTAATTTAATAATTTAATTGTGCTTTTAATTTTTTACGATACAAACACAGTAAGCAGCTGATTTATATGCACTTTAAAGACCAGAAAGTTGCTGTTTAAAGAAAGGAATCAATAATTTTTTTTTTGTTTATGGTAAATTTTTTTTATAGTTTGGTAGAATAACTAACACTCACGGATAATTTTTCAAACAAGCATAGTATGAGTTTAAAAAAATACCAAATTAAGGCTACCACAAGAGTATGATTTTACCTGTTGTATTATATGGGTCTGAGGTCTGGACACTCAAAAAAGCAAAAAATCCGAAAAGAAACTTATAGTCTTTGAAAAGAAAATTCTTTGATCAATTTTTGGTCCAACATGTGATCAAGGAATATGGAGAATAAGGACCAACATGGAACTCAGAACTTTGTATCAAGATTCCAGCCAGATTTAAACAAAAATATAAGATTGAGGTGGGCTGTCATGTAAATAGAAGGGAGCTGAATTCCACACTAAGAATGGCAGCAGAAAATCATCCACGAGACAGAGGATCATCGGGGTGCCCAAGACTGGGATGACAAGATCAGGTGCAGAAGGACATGCAGAGATCCAACATAACACCAGATCTCATGCAAGATCGAGATGGATGGTGAGCATCTGTTAGCGAGATCAATACCGTCAATATCCGTGAGGAAATTTTGCGTGCTGTGTTTGCTTGGTTTTTCTTAGGTTAAGTTTTGTATAGTGATTGTATATATTGACAATTGTATTTTTTGACGATGCCCATTGCATTTTGTACAGTGCTTAAAGGATAATAAATCTCATTTCATGTCAATAACCTTTTGGGGTTTGAGTGGCCTTGTAGAGGTTTTTGGTAAGGTATCTAGTATGAGTTACTGAGTAGGCTCTACAGAAAGCTACACAGTAAATTTCAGACAGGTATGGACAAGCACATTGGGCTCTGACAATAAATAAATATCGGTAAGGTTTTAAAACAAAGTTTAAAAAAGAGAGTTCAAATTCTGTTAAAATGCTATGTGTCAAAATAGTGTGTATTAAACTTTGTTGAGATTGTATTTGCAGGATTTGTTTTACCAATATATTTTGCTGGTAGTATATTGACTAAGTATTAGTGTACCTGTTGCTCAAATTCGAGCAATTGCAAAGTATTAAAGGAGTTTTTTTTTTTTACGAATATAGCCGTCATAATTTCTAATGACTTAAGAGAGTCAACTCAAGGATAATGTAATCAATCACTCCACTCCAGTTATCGAAACTGAATACGAACTCACTTTGAAAACGAACGCTCTTGTGTGTATCATGTGTTTACTATGAACAGCTGTTAATACAAACTATTTCTCTGTTTAAGTAAACAAAATCTTTTCTTCATAAGAAATGATAGCCTGTGGGGTAAAGCCCGAGGACTTTTATTACAGGAATTGGAGCAAGGGGGCTTCTAAACAAACAATACTTAATTTGTATACATAGTTTGTAAAAATCCGTCCATTATTAACGGAGGAGTAGTGTTTTGTAAAATAGCCTCCTTATTATATAAGGAGGTGCGGAGGCTACGCCTTCGCGTATTATATATATAAGGATGGTATGTGACTCACCGGCCAGGAAAGGTATTACATTAATGGTGCTCTCATTAGAACCCATCATGATTGTACTGCAAACACCTACTTCTCAGCCTTGGGATGTAATATGTTTGTGATATCGACAAATTATGCTAGAGGTGTTAAGGCTCTGCAATGCAGGTAGACATCTTGATGGTGTAAGAGCGTATACTGTCAGACATGGCTGCCACATGTACAACAATAACATAATACAAAACTGATTCAATAGGTATACATGTAACAGGATGTATATACTATTTTCCTTGGGTGTGGGCGTGTGTCCACTCAAAGGTTTCTACATTAAAATCGATAGACAGTCTTCCTTGCAATGGCTTAACAAAGGCCAATGCAAGATCCGATAAAACCATGATCAATAATCTGTCTTCCCCGATTAGTCCCTCTGGACAGGTGGCTTGCGTGCATAAAATTAAAAAAAACTAATTCAGTACGCAGAAACATTGGTATCACTGTTACAAAACCAGGTCCAGTTCTATGATCAAAGTCAGTCCTGTTTCATCTGAGTTGAGGAAGAACTCAAAACTTTTATTACTGTACTAGCTTTAAATTGTTATAAAGCTAAGTAACGGAATGGCTACATTGCATGCTTAGTAATTATAAAGTTTTATCCTAGAAACAGTCAGAAATCTTTTAACGAATAAAGAATGAACCAAACTGTTCTTGATTGGCTTTTAAAAATGGTCCTAGCTCAAGAACCATCTGATCAAAATCAGTAGCAAAGCTGTCATCCCATTTACACAACACTCATCTTCATCTTAAAAACATGTAGGGTAGCCTGATGTGTCAACTTCAAATCTAGATTCTAAGCAACCATATGATTCATTGTCCAAGTTTAAGATCAACAGTTGCATAATCAATCAAGTACCTCACCTCGGATTTTAACTCCCAGCAAATAAATGTAAAACCGCTACAATACTGGACTTACGGATGATTGGAAGGCTGGAAATAGTCTTGTACAGTCATGGTAGCAGGTAATAGACACCAGTTGATGTCCGTGTGTGAAGGTGTAAAGTCGTGAACACTGTTCCAGATGTTGTTAAACACACTCAGGCCAGCTGATCTAAACTGGTCTGAAATACAAACTGGGATTTACACAATATCAGTTGGGATAAACACTAACTGGGGATTGTCAAAATTTGTCCATTTGGCTGGTAAATAATCTGAACTGGTCTGAAATATATACTTGGACTTAATAGACACAATGTCGTCGTCGAAGAGGATTAAGTCTGAACTTGAATTTGTCTTTAGGCTAGGCTAAATTTATCAAATATGCTAGTACCTATATCATTTTTTTTAATAGCCATCCTGAACAGAGTTGCTGTATTTTTGATGAGCAAACACAAACATGTACACAGGGTAGACTACCTTGAGGAATGTGTAGGTTATATGGGAAAACGCTTCATGGAGCGAACTCATAATAAATTAAAAGCACATAGTCTACATGAAAACTATTGTATTTTCCTACCTATCTTACCTTCTTCTTGTATTATCTTACCTTCTTACAAACAACTTTGACATTTATTCTCACTAAAGCGATATCATTTGTATTTGTTTACTTTATTATTGCTCTTCATATTTCAACTCAACATTTACAATAATTTGGATGTAATTTAATTTCAGCGTCCTATTTTAAATTTAGGGACAGTTTACAGTTCAGAGCTCTTTTCAGGCCACAAGGCCATTTTTAAAAACTGCTTAGGTTAAATAATACATAATAAGACATGCATCACAATTACATAACACACTAAATAAATCACAAACCTTCTAGCTGATCGTAGTACAACTGGTAGCATCCAAAATGTATTCGACGTGAAGACTCAATAATCGGTTGGGTCGGACAACATAGAAACACGTTGACATTATGACAATCCCTTAAACGGAACTGTCCACAGGCAACCACACATGAACAATCCCTGCAGTCCCTTAGGAACACGCTGTAAGAGAGCTATTGTAAGTTCTTAAATACAACACTGAAATGTAGGCTTATTACTTGAGTATTTAAACATTTTCCATATAGGCCTTAAGCCTTAAGTATTTGATCACCAAGCTATTAGCATTGAATGGTTCAAAACAGTAAGTGGCGGCAATTGACTATTTAGTAGTAGCGAAGGTATGAGGTTGTACACACTGAAATAATTTTTAATAAATCCTCTAAAAAATGGGGGCAGCTGCTTCCACCTATACCCCACTGAATGGCTGGTTGTTAAACTTGTTTTAGTTTGAGTGAGGTTCCTTCTTGTAGGAAGTGAACTGTATTTATTATTATGAGATCGTAATATTTTAAATCGTCGAGATAAAACAAAATGCTAGATATAGGTACCGGTAGCCTAGATAGCATATTTTAAAAATTAGATTTGTCAGTACCGGTAACTAACAGAAAAATAGCCAATTTATTTGCCTTACAAACAGCCTGTAGGGCAGGGATGCCACCCGTCCCGATTCTGCCGGGACAGTCCCGATTTTGGTTCCTTATGCCCATAAGCCTATGTCAATTCGGGGGGAGGGGGGCAATGTCCCAATTATTCCCTAACCTAAGGTGGCAACCCTGCTGTAGGGCTAAACCAATTTAACCTAGCAAGAGCGATGACAAGTAGGGCCTAAGTTACACCAGTTCCTAAAATGTCCAGGTGAAACGATTTGATCAACAATATGAATCCATACCGGTATGTTAAAGTTGATCCTTACAATAATGAAATTAAACATAGCCTATTTTTAATGTTATGTTAATGTTAACATTTCTTCAATGTTATGTTGGCTCATTCTCGATTAATAAATAAACAGTATACCTATACCACAGTACGCTAATCAAATGTAAGTTTACATAAATATTTACTCACCTTCCTGTGACTGGTCCAACAATAAATTTACAGTCATTACAGTCATCTATTGTCAAAGTGTTGATATTGTCTAAGAGGTAAATGCAAGATTTTCTACAGTTTCTGACTACATATTGTTGACCATTAATAGACCCTGGGACTTTCCAGATGTCTGAGTTCTCAGTGGCTTCCAAGGTGAAATCATTAGGATCAATGTTTTGTTCTCGTTTTTCCCTGAAATAATTCAAAATTTCACTGACTAACTTACCAATTGCAACCTGTTTTGAGTCCAGCTTGTAAACTACTTAAACTTCAAAGTAAATGTTGAACGTTGAAAAATCATAAAAAATCTTTACATGTAACTAATTATGCGAGCATAGCTTAGCAAAAATGGTTTTGATACTGTGCTGGACTGGACATGTGCTACAACATAGGAACAAGCTTAGAAAGACTACTAAGTTTAGGGTATTGGATTTTAAGTTTTTAAGATAGAAAATGAGGTCTGATCAATTGCCAAGTGGTCTAAGGTGGATTGTGTCTCCAACCAAAAGACAGCACCTTAGATTGTGTATTTAAATCTCGTCTTGTTCAGATATGGTGTGCAATTAAATAAACATTGAACAGCTTGGGTGGAAGTGTTTTATCCTCGGATGGGTGGGTTTAATTTTAACGGAAAAATCACAATTTTTACAGTTCAATTACATGCATGAACATTCTTGTATACTAATCGATACTATTCATAGCCTACAATTTAACACATTGTGTTACAAGCAAATGCTTTAATTATGCCTACATAAATACTACCACTAAATAAGATTTACAATTTAACAAAAAGTTTAACTCTGTGGATTCTTCATGAGTTACACTCCTCTGTTAACAATACCTAAGCTTATTTCACAAATGTATGTAGGCTAGCTTTCCTACTTATGTGTCCGCCAAGACCTTCTTTGGTAAGAATTGAGATTTTTGTGTCCCTATGACATGGGGGAAATAAGTTAGGATTGATAGGTATATTGTCGTCTTCCTGTAGTCTAGCTACTAGGAGGTCACGAATTTTGGATATTTATAGATATGCACTGTGGATGTGATACTCCCTGGTGCGGATTAACGTCCGCACTAACTAGTGAGTACTATGACTACCCGGAGTGATATCCTGATAATTAGACCAATTCGTATATACCAAGGCAAAAAAATGTGGTTCGGATTCCACTATAAACTGTAGGTCCCTTAGTTGCCATTGGCTGTAGTACGGGCTATATTAATTAACAGCCGTGTCTAAGGAACATGTCGGCCTTAGTCACTAACTTACGGATGCAGTTCCGCAGAAACCCTGTAATATAATTATTTGTTTGAATATAGATGTAGGCCTATAGAACGTAGCGATTATAATTTGGTTTGATATATCGCTTCTAAAAATGTCTCCTGATGATATAAACATTGAATTGAGCTGTTTATTTTACGTTTTTATTGGTGCTTACCAACTAACTGTATGCTATTCATGTTTTTGTTGATTTTCTCGTTTATATCATAACTTATGGTAAAATTAAATTTAATGCAATATTACTTAAACTTAACTAATATAAAACCATTATCTATTGGGTACAATTCCATATCTGCTGGCACAAACAACCGAATGGAAATATCGATCAATATATCGATTAATCAATATTACTCATTCGGTTGTTTGTGCCAACAGATAAGTTATGGAAGTGTACCCCAATTTATAGGCTAATAGATATATATTTATATTTAATCCGATAATAAATTGTAGGTTCTCTGCGGAATTGTACCTATTAAGTTAGGCTATTACAATCTAGATAGGCTTATGAATGCTAATTGCTCCAGACATAATATGACACTTTTTATGTTATTTTTGAGGTTATAAGCTTCACATATAATTGCCAATCATATAGGCCTAGGGTATATTGTTTTTATAATAACAAAGAGTGTTTATGATGTTTATAAAATTTATAATAAACATAAAAAGAGTTTGGGTTTAATGGGAAGAAGCTGTGGTTAACAAATCACAGTGATGTTTAATTTTGACTTACCATGAATATCCTTTATTTGAATCTGTCAACAAATCCTTAGACTTCATATTTTTGTCGCATAGACAACCCATGATTAAGCTTTGAAGTTAAATAATTCCTTCATTTCATCTTCATCTAGAAAGAAATAGAAATGTATTAAAATTTGTTGTGGTTGGACTTGGACACACACAACAAAAGTAACAAACAACCAAAACAAAACAACAGCTGTCGCTGTCACTAGTGACAGTCTGACAGATAAGAAAAAAAATAGCACGCTGAGGCTGAGAATACAAAAAAAAACAATTAAAGACAGATTGATGTGGCTTTATGAGCCAGTACATAAACAAAAATGTATCTTACAGTAAATTCAGTACGAAGCTACATTTTGTTTATATGGAGGTGGCCATGTTTTTAATTGCTAGCACGAATACTACGATACTGTGATTGTTAGTAATGAGAGGGAAATCGTCTTCTTATTCAGCCTACAGAATGGAACATCGAGTTGGTCTTTTCTTCTAATGTACGTGTGTTGCTCCGATCGCTTTATGGGAAAAAGGTTCCTTGATATAGGTCAAGCTGAGCAAGATACTGACTGTACATACAGTAGTTAGTACTTTACTTTATACTTTATTCTGAAATGCCGACCATATGAATGTAGGGTATTTTAAGCCACTTATGAATGGAGGTGAGTGGTGCGATCTAAAGTCGGGACCACGTAAGTTTGCAGTTGGGGGTTAGCCAATCACAAGACAAGGCTTGTACGACGTTGCCACATCGTCCGTTGACAAAACTAATTAAAATATACCAAGCATTATTTTCAAATCAGCTGGTATTATTGTATTTGGCAACACCGCACAGTTCTCATTGGTTCATTCAAAACCATATGGTAAATAGGCTCCTCCCTCAACTGCAAACTTACGTGGTCCCGACTATAGTAGTCTTGTTGTGAGTTGTGACTAAGACCGACATGTTCCTTAGACACAGCTGCCTTAGTAGTTGCCCAATAGTTGCCCATAGGCCTACAGCCAATGGAAACACATCCGTTTCAATCGCGGATTAGTCCTCTCATAATTAATGCGCATGCGGGAGTAAACTGTTCCGTGGAACTGTCAGATGTCAGATTTATCATTTTCAGATTCTGTTACAACGTTTACAATGAATTGAATAAATAAAGTCAATGATAGCACACAGGACAGGTTGTACCAACTAGTCTGCGCTTTGCTTTTACTTTAGTCTACTTTCAAGTTTTTGCTCATCCGTTTGTTTATTAAAACGTTTTTTTTACCCTATATCTATCTCAAAATATGTTTAAACTAATATTATGTAAGTTAAGTTATGCTAGTTAAGTATTTACAAATGAATTGATACGTAAGTTATTTTATAGTTTGTGCTGAAACTATAAGCACTTCATCGCTTCACACTGTATGTTCGGGCCAGGCATGAATAAAGTAAATTACACTCTTGTTTAAGAAATGTATAGTGATTATGGTAAAGCTTTTATTGGAATAATAAAAAGGAATGTGAGAAGGTACATAAAGATGTATTGACATTTTACAACTAAGGAAAAGAATACCGTAAATTCCAAATTACACCAGACTAGTTGGAGATACAACCTGTCCTGTGTGCTATATTCAAATTAAATTCATTGTAAACATATTATCAGGACAGTACTGCGGATAGCCATAGTACTCACTATATACGGACGTTAAACCACACCAGGGAGTATCACATCCACAGTGCATGTCTATAAATATCCACAATTCGTGACCTCTGAGTAGTTGGACGACACCAACGGCCCAGTCTACCCACCCAGTCTGTCAAAAAGACCTACTGTGTTCTAGGTATTCGGTGACAGAGTCAACCAACCCAAGAGTTTTCTTTTTTCTGCTGAAGATGTATGTTCTTGCTACATAGTTGCATTCAGAGGAATGTCCCACAGCAAAAGACCATACGTACGTATACGTGTTTACGTATAGTGTGGGTGTGAAAGAGCGCTGCATTGTACACGTCAATGATGCTTCACAGCATTTTTGGCAGCAGGAAAAGGCACTTACATTTAAATGGAAGTGATCGTGGTGGCCACAAGGAGCCTTAAAAGCCCGGTAGCAGGCGCCTACGACCCGGCATTTTAATATATTTTTTTAGACAGAGAGAACAAGCAATCTATATTTAAATTTTTTTACATGGAAAAATAATAAAACATTTTCTATTTAGATTAATAAAAAGCTGGTACTCCAGCCCCATCTTCGAACTCTCTAAGGGTCCTCCACTTCTTTCTTGTCCTCCTTAGACACATGCTGCTGGCCCTTAACGTCGCACAGATGGTTTTCACCCTTATCCAGTTCATCACTAAACTGTAAAGGTTTCTTCCATTTTTCTGTGAGGCGTTCTGCCATTGCTCCGAGCAAGGTCTGAAATTCTTTGCCTAGCATTCCGTCCACAGACGTGACTAGTGGGGTGAAAGAAGCATTTCTTGTTTCTGTTATTGTTAAATATTTTCTCTTCTTCTCTCTTTCTGCATTCTCCAGAACTTTTTCGTATGGGAGGTTCAAGTACGATGGAACATCAGTGTCAACGACACGTACATCGAATAATGCTTCCGTCTGAACCTCCCATACACCCCTACTAGTCCAGGCGCTAAACGGGTTGAGTATGCACTGAAAGTCTGACAAATTTTCACTTTTGATTATTGTTGGGGACATCTAGTAGATGAAAAAAATCGATGATGTCGCATTTCTAGGGTGGTCATAACTCGGGGGGGAGGGGGGGAAGTTGCGCGGATCATCGGTTTACGTTTCCGCGTCTAACTCACAAACGGTTAATGATAGAAAGGTGAATTAAGCGTCTATCTACGTCTAAATATATTGTCTTTTAAAAAGGTTATTACAACCTTTCTTCTATCTCTTATACTTTAGGCACTAATCAACATTTATTGCAAAAAATCAAATTTAAAAATACTTTAAAATAAAATATCGGAAATATTGCGCTTGTTTAGGGCATGTTACAAACTATTTATGGTTAGAAAAACTAACAAGTAGTACAACAGCACCAAGTTTAAAGAAATCTGTGCAAAAACAACAGAGCTACGTTGATTTCAGTAAGAGTAAACGTGGAAAATTCGTAGTAGTATCGAGGCGCGCATGGATGGTACGTAGCCCACAGTCAATATTGGTTTGATGTTGTAAGTAACTATGGGAAAGCTGAATTTTTCTATGCTGTTAGACCATGTTGAGATGAGCATTTTCCCGAAAGTCAACACTCCTCCCCCCTTGTGCTTTCCTCTAACCCCCCTTTTTAGATAAATTTACATCCTCTTAGCAATTAAGCTATAACTTTAAAACGGGTAAAGATAATAACGCAATCTTTTATTAATCATTTTGCGTTACGATAATCTACAAAAATAATTATTAGATAAATAAATATTTATAAAGAATTATTATAGATTTCTGAAGAAGAAGGAGAAGAAAATGTGTTAATTGTAATAAAATATCAATACAGTGTTTTTTTTTTGTTTTTTTTTTTATTTAAATGCTAAGAACAATGGTTAAAGACCGTCTGTTTTGTGTCGGACACACTGATTTTAAAATATTTTAAAACAGTTTAAAAAAAATTCCATGAATCACATACAATTATTCATAAAATAAACTGATTTCAACTACAGAATATACACAAATAGCACTACCTACTAATAAAGATCAGATAACAATTGAATGAATAATAAAATTTAAATGTAGCCTACTGAGAATCTGAATTTTTCCTACAAACAGTTAATAATTCATAAAACAAACCTGTTACTTTTATCATTTACTTTGATTAATACTTAACAAACAATATTTTATAATTTTTTTAAATTACATAGATTTTTCCCATTTTTGTATTGATATCTCAATTCTTAAACTTAATAATTATACTCCATTATCAATTCCCACCCTTCACTCCACGCCTCTTTAAGATAATTTCCAAGTGCCCACCAATCTTTGTCATTTAAAAATTCAAAAAAACTCATATTCATTTAAATATAACTTGTTAGACCAAAATTGACGTATATTTTTTTTTAAATTGGACATTCTGCTGCTATTAAAGGGTACACGTTTCATCCCGGTTGAGATTACATAGTTAACATACATAAATTTTAATTTTCCATATAGTTAACTTTTTATTAGACGACCCCTTTTATTTGTAAAAGATGTTTTTAGGGATGGTTACGAATAAAAAAAAATATCCACCATTTTCCAATATGGCCGGACTTTGTTATTTCTTATGGAATACGCTGTATTTTAGTATTCTTTTAGAATTTAAAAGCTATTTTTTATTCGTGACATTTTTTCTCTAAACCTACCCCATTTAGGAGTTACAGCGTGTTATATCTAAAAGAAAGGCTTGTGGTGTACATTCGGCATCCTGTAGCTCATAAACGAGTAAGTTGAGAGAGAAAGAGCAAAGAATAAATCAGTCACATATAAGTCCTCGTTCAAAAAAATATATAAAATACGTTAAAATACTGATTTTGTTATTTTAAAAATGGCCACCATTTTCTAAAATGGTAGCTTACTTTGATATTGGAACAATTTATTTTATGTTTTTTTTTATGTAGATTTGATTTGAAAACTTGTTTATTCTTTGTATTTTCGCTCTTAAACTTACTCGTTTATGAGCTACAGGATGCAGGATGTACTCACAAACCATTTCTTATTCGATGTAACTCCTAAACAAGTAGCTTTAGAGAAAAATGTCAAGAATTAAAAGGTTTAAAAATTGTGCGTTTACATTCCAAAACAATCATAAAATACAGGGTATTCCATAGGACTAACAAAGTTGTAAGCCATATTGGAAAATGGCAAACATATTTTTTAAATTCGAAACCACTAAAAAACATCTTAAAATAAAGGGTAGTGTCCCATAAGAAGTTAACTCTATATATCATAATAAAAAAGTTATCTATTGGTTCACTTTAGTTGAGACACCGTGTATAATAAAATGAGGCTCTGGCGTACAGCAGCAAATGTACGATATTCATTCATATGTATCCATTACAGTCTGTATATGTACTGAATGAGCTAAAAGCGGCAAATTCAAATACAAAAGCCATAATATACGTAATTTGTTCATTGTTGCGGTGCACAAAAAAGCCAGAGTCCTGTAAAATCAATATACTGTACTATCTATAACCACTATATGTAAACAAACTGTTAATAACTATGTATCATTTTAAAATGTAAACTATGCACCCCAAATTTTGTATCAAACATTTTGTTGTGCGACCTCGTATAAAAAATCTACAAAGAAAAGTTTCATAAATTAATCCGTAAAATATTTTTTTATGTTTATGATATTTTTTAACTATGAATATTTAGGATACCATGGTAAATACACTTTTTGTAGAATATCGGAACGCAAAATGATTAATAAAAGATTGCGTTATTATCCTTACCCGTTTTAAAGTTATAGCTTAATTTCTAAAAGACTGTAAATTTATCTAAAAAGGGGGGGGGGGTAGAGGAAAGCACAAAGGGGTAGGAGTGGGGAGTTTTGGGAAAATGCTCATCTCAACATGGTCTAACAGCATAGAAAAATTCAGCTTTCCCATAGTTACTTACAACATCAAACCTATATTGACTGTGGGCTACGTGTACCATCCATGCGCGCCTCGATACTACTACGAATTTTCCACGTTTACTCTTACTGAAATCAACGTAGCTCTGTGGTTTTTGCACGGATTTCTTTAAACTTGTTGTTGTTGTACTACTTGTTAGTTTTTCTAACCATAAATAGTTTATAACATGCCCTAAACAAGTTACATGCCCTAAATTTTCGATATTTCATTTTAAAGTATTTTTAAATTTTATTTTTTGCAATAAATGTTGATTAGCGCCTAAAGTATAAGAGATAGAAGAAAAGTTATAATAACCTTTTTAAAAGACAATATATTTAGGCGTAGATAGACGCTTAATTCACCTTTCTATCATTAACCGTTTGTGAGTTAGACGCGGAAACGTAAACCGATGACCCGCGCAACTTCCCCCCCTCCCCCCCGAGTTGTGACCACCCTAGAAATGCGACATCATCGATTTTTTTCATCTACTAGATGTCCCCAACAATAATCAAAAGTCAAATTTTGTCAGACTTTCAGTGCATACTCAACCCGTTTAGCGCCTGGACTATACAAGCCAAGTCTGATTTTAGTGCTGCAGCATCCAATGACCCTTGCTCAGAGATCATTGGTTCTCGAACACAGTTTCCCCATGCTAGCTCCATCAAGCTTCCAAGAGTATCCCTTACCTCATTATGTCTTCTTATTATCAACCCACCTGTGCGACAGTTAAGGGCATGTTCCATACTGAAGTTTTTGCCACAGCCATCACATGAAGAGGGGAGGTGTATAGGAGTTTTCCCATATCTTAGTTTTATCATATCGAACTCCAGTGGAGAAAGATATGAGTTAAGTTTTTTTTTTAATGGAATAGGTACATGACAGCCATCCACTGTGTTTCACTTTAGTGTTTGCTCCTCGCAAGATAATTTTTTGTTGTTTTAGAGGAAGATTTTGAATAGTCAATTTCAAAATGTTTTCTTCTTCTAATCTTCTCTCCTCTTTCAAGTCCTTTTTTGAGAAAACCAAATGTTCTTCATGTTCTTGCATGCTTATTTTCCTCTTAGTTTTTAGGGAGTCTATGATGAATTTACAACATTTATTTGAAGCTCGGAACAATGCTTTTCCCTGAGTGGTAGGATCAACTAAACCAATTCCTCAATTTTTTTACTTGCAGATGTAATATTTTTTGTTCATCTTGGTTTAGATGACAGCCAAATAAAGCAGGAAATAGGTTTTGTTCTATTGAGTTTTTTATCGGATAAAAATTAATGTCTTCACTTTCAACAACTCTTTGAAAAAAAATTCCATTCGGCTTGTATGGATTTTGTGGCAACTGTTTGTGCAGATTGTGGATATTTTTCAGCAACATTCGCCAGACTTACCAAATGACTATTCCACTTTTCTACCTTCTTTTTAATAAAGACATCCTTTTCTGTTTTGTCACATCCAATAAATCCTCCTAAAAAACTACTCCCAGTACCATACCATGTCATCCGCATACCATACTTGATTTGTTTTTGGGATGGGTTTTAATTCATAAATTAACGGCAAAGTGGATAATCCATACACTATCATAGATAATGGGTCTCCCTGAGTAACGCCTTCCATGCTATACAGTTGTTTTTTACTTCCTGGCATAATTATAGTGCAGCCTTACTCTGGTATGTGTTGAAAATGAATCGTGCAGCCCTTGGCCATTTAATTCTTGCCTGCCACAACGCATGAACTCTGTTTATCGGATAGCGCTGGGTTCACAACGATATGGTAGGCATTCCCCATGTAGCACAGATGGTTGGGCCAACGTTGGCCAACTGTGGGACAGTTGGTCGATGGTTGGTTGGAGCTTCCACAACCAACCAACCGTTGTCCAACTGTATATCTCGTAGTTGGGCCAACCAATATTTACAACTGTGGACCAACATTGGTTCATTGTTAATGAAATACATTAATATGCATTGCTGGGTATCATACATCAAGCCAACCGTTGTCCAACCGTTTTTCACTCCGTTGGACCAACAAAAGATACTTTTGTTGGACCAACAATGGTCCATAGTTGAGTTTACACGACTTTCATTCTCTGGGTCTAGCTTTCACAACATAATTATAATAAAATATCTGGTTTTACAATACCTTTATCAGTTCCAAAAGTTTTTGGAACTGATAAAGGTACAGTATTGTAAAACCAGATATTTTATATATTATCCCAGATAGCAAAAAATACTTGATTAAAGCTTGAAACAAGTTTGATTTGTCAAATCTGCAAACTTGAATCAAGTTTGCTCGGATGGGTCCGTAAACTTGATTCAAGTTAATATCATGCGTCGAAGTTCCCGCTCTTCCAGTTTGAATAAAATTTGAAACATCTAATTTGAATAAAACTTGAAATTTCTAATTTGAATAAAAATTGAAACATCTTATTTGAATAACACTTGAACTATCTAATCTAAATATAAATTGAAAAAATACTTGATTCAAGCTTGAAATAAGTTTGGTTTGTCAAATCTGCAAACTTGAAGGATCGGGTTTGTAAACTTGATTCAAGTTAAAATCATGCGTCGAAGTTCCCGCTCTTCCAGTTTGAATAAAACTTGAAATATCCAATTTTAATAAAACTTGAAATTTCTAATTTGAATAAAAATTGAAACTAATATAATATAAATACCTCGTCACAGCTCTGTAGTTTCTGTAGATTACAGCTGTTTCGGCATCAAAATGCCATCCTCAGATATACATACATCCACCTGAATTGGCGTCGTTAAACTGTACACATACACGAACACGATAAAAACACGTAAAACAAGAGACAGGCCTGTCGCGTACATGATTGCTACGAGTACGGTCAGCTTCCGTACTCGTAGCAATCATGTACGCGACAGGCCTGTCTCTTGTTTTACGTGTTTTTATCATGTTCGTGTATGTGTACAGTTTAACGACGCCAATTCAGGTGGATGTATGTATATCTGATGATGGCATTTTGATGCCAAAATAGCTGTAATCTACAGAAACTACAGAGCTGTGACGAGGTATTTATATTATATTAGTCACCAATTCAGCTCAGGGGCTAAACCATGTCGATTGAAAAATTGAAACATCTAATTTGAATATAAATTGAAGAGTACAAGAAATAATTCTTTTTTAGCCACTTACAAGCTCTTTTTATTTCTGAAAATTTAATTCATATGCTTTTACCAGGATTCACACAGTCTTGACACATGTAATAAAAATTTCATATTTTTTAGGTTGAGATGCATAGCACAATATAATCTTCCAATATTTCAGATAATTTCACAATCACAACATAATCTAATAACTTCAATGCCTCTAGTTGTTAAATGCCAAGACACTTCTCCAAATAAAAAAGCGAGATACCATCTAAAAACTTATTTTTATAAAAGAGCAGGAAAACATGAGTTATTTTAATTTTCAACCCTACAATTTTACATATTATTACTATTCAGTACGTAGAATTCAGAATTCTTTGAAATTAAAAATAAAACACAAGAGGTAATTTGTCTAAATAGATTTATATTGAAGATTTACATAACTCATTTACATTTCAAAATGCCTCGTATCTTTAACTTTCAACAAACAATTCCCTCAAAAATTCCTCATTTTACGATTACTTTAATAATACAGAGTAAGTTATCTATTCAACAAGATTTTCATCCCCATTGAGTGGAACTTCCTCCCCACTGTCCACAAAGGCAGGTTTTTCCCTCTGAAAAAAGTCAAAACAAATAGAATCAATATTAAATTTAAGGATAATTAACCAAAATGATTAATTTTGTATCTGGTATAAAAAATAGGCAAGTAAGCAACATTTTAAACTAACACAGTTTAACTCACAACCAGTGTAGGCCTGTTTAATGAAAATTAATTTATTCCTACAATGATATACAGATACAATATATGATCTTCCCAATAATATTAATATTAATTATTAATATGTATAAAACACAATTACATTTTTATTGTCAAAAAATGCTAGACACAAGCCCAGGATTGTTTTCACATTACTTCAGTGAATCTGCGGGATTTTATATTTTATCGTTTAAGTATAAAACTAGTGATAGTTCTTGGTTGGTTATCCTAAATATAGCCAAGACATTTGTTACAAATCTTGCTCATACTTTACAAATATATATAAGCTTTCATTTACTATATAAATTAACCCAGGCAAGCCCAGCATTGCTATGAAACATGAAAACCCCTCTACAAGAATAAAAATACTAGCATTTTTCTTTTGGCGAATTTCCCTATAGGAAAAAATCTATTACCGTAGGTGGCATGGTAAGACCTAGGCCCGGAACCAATTAACTTTTTCATTTTGATGTCCCCAGAGCCCAATAACACCATTTGTTCACATTTTTATATATGTATATATAGATTATATGTCCGTGAACACGATAACTTGTGTAGGCTAAGTTAATTTTTGTCCGATTTTGATGAAATTTTTTTTGAAGGTGTAAGGCGGGATAAACTTGAATAAGTTTGCGAACCAGCATGATCGGACCATGGGAACGGGGTTTTATGGGGTAAAAATGGGTTTTTCTAATTTTTGACCCTTTAATCACAAAATTTCCCAATTTCTCTCCAAACCTTTTTAATTGTTTTTGTACAATTATTGGTTACGGAGAGAAAAAATATACATTTTAAAATTCCCATGTTATTCTTATGGAGAATATTGTAAAATGTCGTAGTTTGCTTGTTTTTGACCAAACTTAGTAAATTTATTTATTTGATACTAAGTAATTAATATTTTACTAAAAAACACACTTTTTTACCCTCCTTGTAGCAGCAAGCCTATGTACTCATTAAAGCTAATGTTAATTAAATACATTTAATTGAAAATCAATTCAGGCAAATGGAAATTCACTTAGTCGGCAGGATTGCTGCGGCGGGGGTATTTTTTAGCTTATACAGTACTTGAGTAATCATAATGATAAACAATAAAAAACATTTTAATGAAAAACCATTATGCAGTAGACTCCTTTTTACCCGAACACCTAGTAACCAGACTGCACTCAGCAGATGTAGTTCTTAAACCAGACAATTTTTATCAGTACGGTTTAACCACCCTGGATCGGCAGGAAGTGAGCGGTGCTGAAACAACTTGTTTTGTAGGATAGATTTGAGACCATTCATCACATGTCTAAAGATTAAAATATTTAAAAGGTATAAAGTCTTGGCATCTTGTGTTTTGTTTACAGTAATTATCCCAAAGGTCTATAGTTTGGCTAATATTACAGAATTAACATTATTGGCTTAAATATATTTTGCATTAGACTTTAATCATGTAACAAGTATGCAGTTGTAAGTATGTTGTTGGGTGTCTCAGTTTCAAGTGTCTCCTTCCCTGTATAATTGAGTCCACTGTACAGTATTATTAGGCTACCAATGGAATTCTATTAATGGTGAGTTGAATAGTTAGTTAGTGACAATTTTTTATCCTTACCTTCTTTCACATCTGGTTTTGGCTTGTTGAAGCCACTTAGCAACAACGCTTGTAACTTTGGCTTCCGTGACTTCACTTATGCCCAACATTTTCTGTGCAGCAGCTAAAAAAAAAAAAAATACTTAAAATGAACTTAATACAGAATAGTAGCCTACATTTAACCCCTAAGACCTAAAGTTTGTCTTTCCATTTCAAACATGGGGTTAAGTTTTATTTCTGAAGTTCAAGATTTTACTTTCATATTAGGTTATTTTAATAAATCAATTGTTTAACAAGTTCACTACTGATCGGTACTTGCGCCGGTAGGGCGATCAAAATAGACCGATCCTAATATTTAACGTCACTGATGGACTAAAGGTAGTAAATTATTCAGTAGCGATTATCAGCAAGTTTGGTTAGTAAGGTTAGGTTATGACAGTTTAATTTTTATATTACACAAATTATAAATTTTTTTATTTTTTTACTCTCATTTTGTCCGTATTAAAATTCCGCAGGTGAAATAAAAATTGTGCCCCCCTACAGTGCCTATCTTAACCGCTTCTGGTTAAAAAAAAATGTGTATAACTTTATTTAGAAGATCTTTATTACATAACCTGTGAAACTTAAGCCTAGACCTAAGTTATTTTAGTTATAAAATATTTATATTATTTATGTTAAAACACCCAGGTACAGTTCTGCAATAAACCTACAAAAGGCCTATTTTATATCATCAGATGCAACTTTTATTCGATAATTTAACTTAGGTAACCTTAAAATATTAACTTAAGTTAAGTTAGGATTATGTTATTTTCCCATAAAATACTTAAGTAAAGTTATAACTTTAAATGTTTGACTCAGATTTAAATGTTTCATTCAATGTAAATTATTAAGTTTAACTTAGGTCAGAGTTTCTCAAGGTGTGGTCCGCAAGCATTTTTTTGTGGGGTCCACGAAAAACATTTTAATCAAATTTATTTTTATATGTATTGTATACTAGCAGAGTACCCGTCCTTCGTACGGGGTTGGCGTATAAGTATAAAATGCTTATTGCAGTTATACTCGTGCTTTGTGTTTGCAATGGGGGAGGACACAGTTTGAGTAAATTTGGTTCTTTTAACTTACGGTAATTTACACATCTACTATAGCCATAATAATGTGCTACCACTTTACCTAAACAATAGAGACGAATAAGTTACCAAATATTCGCACAATCACAAATTATTTATAAATAAAAAACTTAAGCATAACTGTAAACAGTCCTATTTTTTGTCAGTTCCCATTGTGTATCATAGCTTTTTGTTGCTGCTTGGGTCAAATAAGCTGTTGTCATATATGAAAAAAAATTAGTTCTGCACCCTATTAGTAAACACTATAACTTTTTAGTACTATTGAATATCATAGAACCAACTCGTGTAGTTGAAACCGCTGGTAAAATTATTTTATTCATTTTAAATTTGAATACTGATAAGGTTAACATGGAAATCTCCAAAGCCACTGGGGCGGAGCCTGAATGGGTCTTTGAGATAAGAATATGTCTATATGTTAATTGGGAACGAAAGCTATAATCATACCGAATTTCAGCTCGATCCGACCAGTAGTTACTTAATGCGTGATTGAACTTCAAACAAATAAACAAACACACAAACTTTCACATTTATAATATTAGTAAGATTATATTATACTAGCTGAAAGTAAATAAAAGAAAAGTCTTATAACACTTAAAATATATATTTACACTTATACTGTTACTCACAAGACGGTAAATATACAAAACAGATGGTAAGTGGTGATCGATTTCGATTGGACACTCCAATCATCATCAGACCCAATAGGCGAATGTACCCATTCTTCTAGGTCTGATGATGATTGGAGTGTCCAATCGAAATCGATCACCACTTACCATCTGTTTTGTATATTTACCGTCTTGTGAGTAACAGTATAAGCGTAAATATATGTTTTAAGTGTTATAAGACGTTTCTTTTATTTACTTTCCGTAAATTTAATAACACGTAAAGTGCTGATCAAGAAGTTATTTAATTATAATAGCCTATTTTGCTATAGGCTAAAGGATTAAGGTTAAGAAATATGCAAAAAAACTTAAACCTAAATAAATAACCTAGCCTACTTATTTATTTAGGTTTAGGTTCCTTTGCATTTTTCTTAATGTTGATTTTAATAAGTAGCTTAAACTAGCCTACAGTTTTCTATTTAAGATATATCCTAAATACAGTAATGACATCTAGTGATATGCATCCGTTCCAAACCCTATCACTCACTCCTATCCTATCCTATCACTACGTATTTTCTATCGATCGTCTATTGATACTTCCCCTAGGGTCAAGTAGAGCCTCGTCTTCTAACCCCTCCCTGAGGAGATAGTTTAAAAAGTTACAACACGCACTCATGACCTTACCATTGTACCATGCTGGTAAAATGTGCTGATGAAAAATCGTACGACGACTGTAAATCAATCGCTCTAAGCAAAACGGTCGCCGTAACAGCGATAGTAACAGAGCGATTATCGCTGTGCGACTATCGCTACAGTCGCTCCGAGCAAAATAGGCCTTAAGTTAAGTGGACTAAATCAAAGTAAGTTAACCTAACTTAATGCCAATTTTTAGTTTAATGGAGAAAAAATTTTGTAGCCTACCTATATCAGAAACTAATCGCCTGAAAGCTGACCAGACTCTTACTGCGATTAAACGTAGGTTACTGCATTTTATCTGACAGTGTCACTAACAAAGTAGCTGCTTAAATACTTATCGAGTAGGCTACTGAAGTAACTTAGCTTTAAGTCCCTAGCCCTAAGTTATAAGTTACCTACACATTAAAATATCATGGTATAAAATATGGCATTAAGTTAAGTCTAAAGCCGGGTTTTCCTAGACGCAGAAGAGGAGCGCGGAGAGCGGAAAATCGAGTAACATGGCATTCCGCTCTGCTTCCTAGGAAAACAGTACCGGTAACATTAAACTATTTAAGACAAGAGGAGTTCACTCTCCACGCTACTCTCTCCCCGCCTAGAAAAACCCAGCTTTATAGAATAGACTACAACGTAACTTAGGCCCATTATGGCTAATCTAGGCTATAACCTACCATAGTCTATACTATGAACAGTGACGACAATGCCTAGGCCTAAGTTAGACCATACCAGTACCACAATACCTAAGTATCTTACATGGAGAGCTTGATATCCAAGCTGGTAAAAAAAAATATGTTCTTATGCATACAAACAACTCTAAGTTAGGCCGATAAGTTGACAACATTTATTTTTTAGGCTAGGCTACTCATTGCACGTAGGCTTACCAACTCAAAAGTGGCTGACTTTACCATAATTACCATAATTACCATAATTACCATCCTCTTGACCGTTGACCATTTCTGGATAGGTCGCGTCATTAATGATACAAATATCATAAAACTCACAAATAAAAAAATACTTCAACATATAATTATTAATAATTAACTTGAGTGTCAGGCGGCATAAAAAAATATTAAAAAACTAACTGGGCTTTGAAGTAATCCTCCAAGGAATAAAAGCTCTGTTGGCAACACCACGACTTTAACTTCTTTTTGAACAGTTTCGGCTCCAGGTTCTTAATGTTCTCAGGCAGTCTATTAAACATTTTACAAGCCAGTAGTGGGAAACTGTCCTTCACTTTAGAAGTGCGGCATCTGGGAATAGAGATCAGGTTGTTGTTTCTCAGATTGTGACCATGAAGCTGCCCTCTTATTTGAAAATCAGCTAAGTTCTCTTTTACGTAGAGGAGGGAGCTCAACACGTAGTTCCCATAGACTGTCAGGATGCCAAGCTCTTGAAATAAAGGTTTGCAGTGTTGCCTATACTCAGCCCCTGTCATGATCCTCAAAACCATCTTCTGGTACAGGAGGACTCTTTCACATGCTGCAGAGTGCCCCCACAAAAGCAGTCCATAGGAGATGTGTGTATGGAACAGGGAGTGATAGATGACGACAAGATACTGCAAAGTGACCAAATTTTTCAGTTTTCTGATCAGGGAGATTACTCTTGACAGTTTCTTGCACACCACGCTGACATGATCATTCCAAGAGAGCTTGCTGTCTAGATAGAATCCAAGCAGTTTCACTGGCTGATTTCCTAATTCGACTCCCGCGAGGGAGCAGATGAGCTGTTGAGTCTTGTCTTTGTTTAGACTTAGTTTGTTACGCTCGAACCATGAACTGGCTTTACTGAGGTCGATTTCAGCCTCCTGGAGCAGCATCTGAATGTCATTGTTGCGAGAAATTATTGTTGTGTCATCAGCAAATAAAAGGCAGTTAATATCATTTCCAAGGTCATTTATCATGACAAGAAAGAACAGGGGGCCAAGTACTGAGCCCTGTGGGACACCATGCTCAATTAGCTTTTTACTAGAGCTAACTCCCTTCACTGTGACAAATTGTTGCCTGTTCTCAAGGTAAGACCTGAGTGTAGTAAAGACTGTGCCTCTTATGCCATAATGATGGAGTTTATCTAGCAGGATTTTGTGAGAAACACAGTCAAATGCTTTACTCAAGTCGCACAGGGTGAGTGCAACCGCATCACCACCTTCAAAAGCCTCATAGACGCAGCTCACCACATCTTTAACTGCTGTTGAAGTAGATCTTCCTGATCTAAAACCATGTTGTTTGTCTGAGAAAATAAAATTTTGTTCAAAAAAGTCTGTTAGTTGGATCTTGATAACGGTTTCGACTACTTTGCTCAGAATGGGAGTGATAGATATAGGCCTGTAGCTATTTAAAAGTTGCGGGTCACCCTTTTTGTAGATTGGTACTGTCCGGGAGATCTTGAGTTCATCGGGAAAAATACCTGTGGCTAAGCAATAGTTGACTACAGTAGCAAGAGGAGATGCAATGGTATCAATAATCTTAATTAATATTGTTGTAGTCATTCCATAGGCATCACTACTTCGCGAGTGCCGAAAGTTCTTTACAATTCTAGTTATTTCCTGCTGGTTGGTAGACCTCCATTTATCAAAAACTAGATTAGGTTGAGGTTGGACACTAGTGGCTGCTATACTTTCTGGAATGCCTTCAACAATCTCCTTAACAGCAGTAATAAAGAAAGAGTTTACCTGTTCAGGGCTGGCTGAGCATTCCACACTTGCCGTTTTCCTATGATAGTTGACTAGACTCCAGGCTGCTTTGCAAGGGTTCGGGGCATTTTCAATAAATGCGATGTTGGCGGCCTTCTTCGCTGCGTCTACCTTGATCCTGTAAAATCTTTTTGCGTTAAGGTATAGGTCACGCAAGTTAGGTCTATCTTTACTTAGGTCACTTAAGAGCAGAGTATATGATCTTAGCCTAGTCAACTCCTCCGTGTACCATGACTTCCCTCTTGGACCAGAAGCTCCACAATTTTTTCTTGTTTCAGCAGATTGTTTCCTGTATCTCAAGGGAAATATTTCATCAAACATTGACTTGAATTGATCAAAAAAAAGGTTAAAGAGATTATTGTTATCACATAAAACAAGATTCCAGTCAACCCTAGCAAGTTCTTCAGCAAAAAATGTAATTAAGTTTTCATCTACTTTCCTGTAAGAAGAGAGAGAGGCCTTATTGCTAGTCACCTGCTTTTCACATACCTGCTTACAGCTGACATCAGTGACTACAGCATCATGGTCGGCAACAACACATTTTTCTACCTTAGTTATGTGATCCCAGATGTTGAAGTTAGTTGCAACACTGTCCAGGCAGTTTCTTCCTCTAGTAGGCACTGTGTTTCCCCAGTACAATCCATGAGACCTCATAATCTCAGTAAGACTCTGTGATCTTGTGGAGTCAACATTTAATGGGGTATTAAAATCTCCACCAATAAGGATCCAGTTGATTTTACTAGAAAGATAGTCCAAGCAATTATCAAGCAGAGCTAAAAAGTTATCAAAATCACCATTGTCTGAGTGGTACACTGACAGCACTGCCAATGAATAATCGTCAAATACTGTCCCAACAATTTCCAAGTCAAAATCAACACAAAAATCATTCAAATCAAGATTATGACATTTGAGTTTTTCATGTGCGTAAATAGCAACCCCACCGTGTATGTTATTTTTCCGGCAATGGATGTTGGCAAGTTTACAGTCACCTATTTTTGAGTAAAAGCTTGATTCTTCTTGAAAAAGCCAGTGCTCGTTTATGGCAAAGATATCAGGTTGAATAAAATCCATAAAACTCTCCACCAGATTAAACTTAGTTCGCAGACATTGAACGTTGAGGAAAACACACCTTAATATAGTACTATTTGCATGTGTACTGGGCTGGGTCGCTGGGTGGGTGTTGAGCTAGCCTCCCCATTGGTCAAACCTAATGGAGAGGGGACATCCCTAAAAAAGCTAACTTTAGGCTAAAACTTACTTGGCTCTTTCAAAATTTTCACTGATTTTGAGTTTACTTAATTTCTTCCTAGGCTATTCTTGTAATTAACTTAAGACGATTTGATTTTGTTAGTCACAATCCTTGAGTTTACTTAGTTTGTGCTAATAAGAACTTACCTTGATGGATAAGAAGAAATAGGCCTAGATGAAACTTAATAACAAATCAGCTTTAACAATATAATATTATAACTTGAACAACTCAGCACCAGAATATCGATATTCTCAACTCAATGAGAGAGATTGAGAATGAATCACTTACAAATACACAATAAACAAAACAAAGCAATATGGCCGATGGCATCTTCAAGTGTCGGTCCCACCGTTAACTTAGCGTCGTTCCCGTTCCCGCTCGGAATTATGGGTAACTTACACTCGACTCCAATTCGAATCCAACGTGATACTTAAAAGCTGTAATTTCAAACCAACGTAAGCGTAATGGAAGTGCATTGTGGGTAATATTACACTCGACTCGGATTCGAATCTAATGTGATATTTCAAAGCTGTTAATACAAGCAAGTGCAAGCGTAATAGTAGTGTGTTGTGTATACTCGAATCCAGTTTGAATCTAATGTGACATTTCAAAGCTGTTAATTCAATCCACTGTAAGCGTAATTCAAGTGTGTTACACGAAGTTGACATTTGACTCGAGTTTGAATCTAAAGTGACAATTCAAAGCTGTCATTTCAAGTAAAAGCAAGCGTAATTCAAGGCTTGAAGCAAGCTTACGTGCTATCTGGGACAGTTCCGGCGCTACAACAATGAATTTTAATAATTTTAATAATGCAAATAATTTTTAAATTAATATTCTTTAACTTATTTGCAACAATTTAAGGGGAAAGAGTAATTAATCATATAACAGGCAATTATAATAGCATTAACAATCTAACGGTAATTAATTAATCATTCAAATACCAGTATCCTCTCTAACTCCAAAAAAAAAAAAACTACTTATGATGCCTTAACAGATTAACAGAATCATATTATACTGTGTAGTATCAAAAATGTTTGAAGTATTGCGACCATTGCAACTGTCGGCTACTCTTTCACCACTTGAAAACTCTCTACATCAGCAATCACAGATAGCTCAGTGGTAAAGTAAGAGGCTCATAAGTCGAAGGACCCGGGTTCGAAACCCGTCTGGGCCAAAAAAGTTTGTTCTAGTTTTTTTTCAAAATTTGTTTTTATGAACTATTTAATCAATTTACTCAACTAATAATTATGCTTTTCGTACTAAATCTTTATTATTTTGTGTGAAATAAAACGGTTGGACAATGGTTGGCTGGAAAACAGTTTAAAGAGGTGACATTTCTACCGTTGGCCAACTGTGTGGCTCCACAATTTACCAACGTTGGCCCAACCATCTGTGCTACATGGGTCGGTTAAATATCGAGCTTGTTTTCTACCGGATGACAGACATCGACTTTTAGTATCGGCATCGGCTCTGGCTCACCGCACCGGCTGCCTCGGTGGAATAGTAAACTATTGCCTTGGTGCCTTCTGCTATGTCTGTCGTCAAACGTCATAATGTGGCCTTGACGATGGAAGGCCATAATTTTATTCACAATATTACAGTGAGAGTGAATGCAAATAAATAAGTACAACATAATATCTGAACCTGGCATAAAATTTACCAATGAAAATGTTTATTATCCAATTACAGTAAGGCTGATAACCAGCATGATGAATATATAAGAACTTAAATTACGGAGGAATTTTAAAATTAATATTCCAGTAACTAGCGCAATTAACGCCAGATAAATTACCACCCCCTTACTTTTAAAAGCGTTTAGATGACCTTTGCATATTTCCTCCATAATAATGCACTATGCACCATGAAACTGATCAAAAGGAACAATGTTGGAATAAATTAAATCAAATATTTTCCTCTCCTTTTAGGCTAGTGCTAGTAGTTTTTGTAATCTCTTGTCTTCTCTTTTCTGTCTGTCGGTGTTGGTTGGTTTGGGTTTTTTTAACAAAGTTTATTTACAATCTGTTTTACATTAAACAATTAATAATTAAATACTATGACATTTTTATTAATAAAATAAAAATTGGAAAACATGAGTTAGCAGCTAAACTGGTTTGTTTACGTTTTGGTTGGTTGGTTGGCGCTATGGAAGCCAATCGATTTACGATATTCGATAGTAGTTGTTTTCATACTACGACGATCGATACTTAACCGTATGCCTACCATATCGTTGTGAACCCAGCGCTATCCCTGTTTATCCTGTTGAAGGCATTGTCAGCATCAACCATTATCACGCAGCTGTCTATTTATATAAGATATAAGGTCAATAAGAAACAATTTTAAGAGTTACTGTGATAAAAGGATTTTCCACTGATTTCGTCATGGAACGTTATATATTGCAAAGTATGACATGATACAGAAGAAAATTAATAAACAAAAATAAAAAATAACATTGCAAATGCTTCTTTTGGACAATTCAGTAACTCCCAATTAATGTGTCTTGTTTAAAATACAATTTACAAACTAACTAACAGCTGTTTCATTAAAAAGTATTATCCACATGGCCAAAATGTAAACAAATCTGTAGGCTTCTGGGAAATTATGGGAAATTAGCTAAACAAAAGTAATACTGTAATATTGACTTTGAAGTATGTTTTAGAAGACTGGTTATAAAATACTCCACTTAAATGCATAATGCAATACTCGTATTTTACATAGTTTAATCGGTTTAATCACGGCCTCCTTGTAGTTTAATGGTTTAATTCTGTTGAGTTTTGCTACATAATGCCATAGATAAGACATAGTAATGCCATAGACTAACCAACATGGTAATGCTATGTAGGTCTTCCACAGTGTTACATGTCCTCTTTTCTAATATAGTAAGCACTGACTGATTTCTCAGATCCACTATCCAGTCATCTTTAGTCATCATCCTTCCTTATTCTCTTCCTCCATATGATTGGTGCATTCATCATTGTTCGTAAATCGTAAGCGTAAGAAGAAGGTGCTTTGTGTCAAGTAAATGGTGTCTGGTTTGGTCTCTGCTCTGGTGTCATCGCAGGAGTGGACGCAAGGCAACTTCAACTTGTAGGCTAGCAAAATTGGTTTTACATTTTATTTACAATCAAATTTCTTGTTATAGATCATTTTATTGTAGTCCCGACTTTCACCTTTTAATAGGAACCTAATTTTTATAAATAATCAACATGAGTTTCCTCAGTAAAGTGTTCGGGGGCAAGAAAGAAGAAAAGGCACCTTCTACTGGGGAAGCCATACAAAAATTAAGGGAAACAGAAGAAATGTTGATTAAGAAACAAGAGTTTTTGGAAAAGAAAGTTGAACAGGAATTGCAGACAGCCAGGAAACACGGAACAAAAAATAAGAGAGGTAAGCTCTAGGCTTGGCTTACCATGATCTGTGTTGTAAGGTAGACTAGGCTTAGGCCTAGCCTACGTTTTCCGTTTAGGCCTACCTAGCAGTCCTAGTTTTCCATAGCTGAAACTTAACTTAGTTATTAAAAGCTTTTTTGGCCTCCTGTAAACATAGCCTAGGCCTATTAATTTATTTGATGTAGGCCTAGGCTAAATGACATAACTTATTTTGGCCGTACAACATAAGTAAGTGGCCATAAAACGGAGGTTAAAATGGTCCATTGAGCGGTAATGATGGTAAAATGGCGTGGTCTGGACACCCATGTGGACTTAACGACAGGGTGGCTAGTGACCTGGAAAACCTGGAAATGTCAGGGAATATTAAATATCTGGAAAAGTCAGGGAATTTTGTCATAAGTCAGGGAAAATTGTAAAATTTTTAAGATAATTTTAAAAATTGTTAGGAAAGGTCGAGAGTAGCCTATGTAACTAAACCTGTGTCTAAGTAAGTACCTAACTAAGTCTAAGTAAGTACCTACCTAAACGTGTGGGTGAAAACTAAGAAATAACTTATGTCTCTACAAATAAATTGTGTGTTTTTGTACTAAATTAAATTTTATTATAAACTGCGTACAGTAGACCCCCTCTTAACCGACCCTAATGGGACCGGACCTAGGTCGGATGATTCAAAAGGTCGGATAAAACGGGCAATCCCTAAAATCATAACATAATAAAGTGCTATTCATTTGGAATTATATAATCATTATTTTGAAGTCATACTTGCATTATTTATAAAATAAACTACCGGTACTCTTATCTCCTTTTTCATATTGATAGAAATGTCACAAATAAACACAAAACACGGTTAAGTCAAATAGGCCTACTTTCAGTGAATATATTATAATACTAAGCAAGATTTAATAAAATTCCTATTTTAATAACTTTACTACTGTAATGTATTAATTAATACTTTCCAAATACATCGTAATAGTAAAGAACCTTTTGTCGTCATTAAAGATTCAAGCAACCATTTTGTTACAAGACAGGACGTTTATTTATAGCCTCTCACTGGAGGCTCGATGCACAAAAACTATCTTGACCTTGGAGTTGTTAACCCTCCCCCCTGCCCTCCCTACAAGTTGCGTTGTTTGTTTACTCCAGCGATAAGATAATCAGTTCTCAAAATCGTAACGCACTTTATGATGTTATAAATTTGCCGCACAGAAAACAAATCAGATCAGATGTGCTCGAGCTACATAGGCTATGCTATATTTTTTGTGATCATCACAAAATAACTTATTGTTAGTCATATCCTGTGGAGATAAACGTATGGTTCAGTTCTCATCGCCCAGCGTGGGACCGGAAATGCCGAGATTCCTAGAAAGCGACGGTTAAACCGAGCTGCTATCAAAGCAAGGTCGGTTAAAACAAACTGTATTATTTTACGATCAAAGGCGGATAATCCGATTATCGGTTAATACGAGGTCGGTTAAGAGGGGGTCTACTGTATCATCTTAACTCAGTTTAATTTTACTATGGTGAGTTGCAAAGTTTGAATATAAGCTAGCCTGTATCTATAGATTTTAAGCATGTTTTTCATGTAAAAAAACTTAAGATTCTCAGATAAAGGTTAGTCCTTTTGAAGAATGAGTTAGGTAGTATTAAAATTGTAATATTGAATTTGTCGATCAAGTAAAGTTTTAAAAAATCATGGAATTGTCAGGGAAAAGTCAGGGAATTTTTCAATGTGATTTCACTAGCCACCCTGAGCGAGGAGGAGAGCAAACAGAGGTTTATAGGCTACTCAACTTAATGCGGAGTGAAATCAATTCGTTTTGATACCAAATAGGCCTAAGTAATCAGTTCTTATTTAGGCATGTGAGGAAGGTAGGTCGGGTTTTATGCGGATTCATGACTGTGTTTTGAAGTGAGGTTAGATTAGGAAGGTGTTAGGTTATAAGTTAATGAACCGACTCATTAATTTATGCTTCGTCCAGACTGTTTTTGCACAATTTAATAGTGAGTGAAACACAATGAAATAACGATAGCCTATCAGGTGTTATTTCATTACTATTTCAATTGTGCAAAAATAGTCTGGAAGTAGGCTTGCATAAATTAATTAGTCGGTTCATTATAACCTAACCTTTAACTTAGGAATCTAACCTCACTTCAAAAGACTTAATGCAGTCACGAATCCGTATAAAGTCCGACCTATCTTCCTCACATACCTAGGTTAAGTTAGATTAGATTAACTGAGCTTAATG